CGCTCCCTGACCTCCAGGTGACCCGGCCTCCTCCCACCGCAGCATCTGAACTTCCGACGCCCCCCCCCCAAGGCTGACCACCCCCAGGCCAGGAGGGTGGGGCAGGATCTGAGGCCGAGACACAAGGGCTCCTTGTCCGGCTGGGCAGGCTGGCACCGCCCGCCCGTCCTGTGCCCAGGAGGAATCTCTCTGGCTCTATTGTTCTTCTGTTGTGCTTGGGGGAGGGCCCGTCGGGGGTCCATCTGGATCAGGCCAGTGGCCGGCTCACAGCCTGGACCAACTCCCTCCCACCCCCACCCCCTTGGCCGGACACCTTCCAGGCTTGTGAACTGTGTGCCCTGCCCCCTCACAGCCTCCATCCTCCCCTCCTCCCCTCCCTGTCCTGATGAAGGGAATTGTTTGCCCTTCATGCAGTGCCCCCAGCAGCGTGCCCGCCCGCCTTGGTGGTCAGTAACATCTCCCATTGCCCCGCCGCCGCCAGCCCTGGTCACCCAGGGCAGGATCTAAACCTCCCGAGGCTGGCCCTGGCCTCCTGCCCGCCATGGCGTGCGTGTCCCCGGCGTCCGGCCGGCCGGCCACAGACCTAGTTCTCACATCATGCCATCGCTGTGTGACGCTGGGCTAATCGCTAGCTGTCTCTGGATTAGTGATTTCTTTATATTTTTAAATATTTTGTTATTGATTCCAGAGAGGAAAGGAGAGGGAGAGAGAGAAACATCCATGACGAGAGAGAATCATGGACCGGCTGCCTCCTGCACGCCCCCAACTGGGGATCGAGCTCGCAACCCGGGCACGTGCCCTGACCGGGAATCAAACCGTGACCTCCTGGTTCCTAGGTCGATGCTCAACCCCTGAGCCCCGCCGGCCGGGCCTCAATTTCTTTGCCCACAAAGTGGGAAGGGGACGGTCCCCGCTCCAGGCGGTGGGGAAGATAAGACAGTCGCTACGAAGCCTGTGACACCGTTCCCAGGCCACAGGGCAGAGGTCGTTGCCACTCAGATGGCCCCCCTGTCCCCATGGAGAGGGGGCCCCCTCCCCGACCTGGTCCTCACACCCTCAGCCCGTGATCACGTCCCCAAGTGCACCCCATGTCAGCAGAGGGAGGGGGCGGGAGGGTCGCCTGGGACAGCTGGGCATGTCGGCATCGTTCCGGTCACTTATGCGGAATTTACTCTCCGCCAAAGAGAAACAGGGTCCCGGCTCCCGAGTCACAGGCAGCCTAAGAAATCGCTAATCGCTAAGGAGAGAGAGCTGAGCACACAGGCCATTTCAGCCGCCCGCCTGGGCCGGCGTGGGTGTCCCCAGTGGGTCCGGGGTGCAGGCCAGAGCAGGGCGCAGTTCAGCCCTGAACAGAGAGGCCTGTGGGGTGCTAGAGACGACCCGAGGGAGCGCATGTGCCCCCAAAGACCCCCTTCCCGCCACCGTCCTCGCCAGCCACGGTGGGGGCTCAGCTGACCCTCCCCTGGCGACTGGCAGCAGGGGCGGACAGAAGACCCTCCGGGGCCCCACCCACCCACGTGGGCAGCAGCTCGGGCCCAGGGAGGGGTCGGCAGGCTGGAAAGGGTTAGGGCACAGGTGGTGCCTGGGGCCCAGCTGCTTCCCGTGGGCGTGTGGACTTACAGCGTCCCCCACTGCGGGGGGCGGGGGGGGGGGGGGGGTGAGCCGGGGCAAGACGTGGTGTGAGGGAGAGAAGAGGCAGGGGCCTCGATCGGCCGCCAGATGCCCCTGTCACGGAGCCAGGGCCTCCCACACAGGCGCCACCGGGGAAGCCAGGACGGAGGGGCCGGGGGCCGGAGCAGGCGGGGATGGTGTGAGGCTGAGCTGGCCCTGTCCGCCGTCCTGGGCCTCTGCCCATTTGGGTACAGTGAACAGCTGGGAAGCTGGTCTGGGGGTTCAGACTTGAATTTCCAGGTGGGAATGTGGTGCTGGGTTGCTCTGTGCCTCAGTTTCTCCCCTTCTGGGCAGCCCTCGCCCCCGCTAATAACGAGAGAGAATCGGCCGCCTCCTGCAGGCCCCCCACTGGGGATCGAGCCCGCAACCCGGGCCTGTGCCCTGGCCGGGAATCGAACCGTGACCTCCTGGCTCGTAAGTCGAAGCTCAACCACTGAGCCACGCTGGCCGGGCCCCCCTCACTTCTCACCGGGAGGTTCTGACACCAGAGGCCCCTGGTGGGAGCGAGGCCGGCGGGGGCCCCAGCGTCCGAGTCAGGGGGGCCTCGCCTTCCCGCCTCTGAGCGTCCTGAGGATGCAGACAGTTACCTCGAAGGGGTGCGAGTCCCTGGGCTCTGAGGCTCCCCCATATTAGGGAAGGGCCTGGCAGCTGCTGCTTCGGGCTAATTGAGGCGGCTCTCCAAGGCGGACGAGGGTTATCGCTGTAACAACAAACATTTATGGTCCGTATCTCTGCGTCTTATCTCCTCGCAGACATTTCCTCAATTAATCCTCACAATGACTCCGGGAAGGCGGCTGCTAGCACCCCGGTTTCCCCGGTGGGTGGGCGGCCCTCCTGTCTGTGGGGGGCGCTTCCCAGGGGCCCAGCCTGCTCCCTCTGCAGCCTCCGCCCCACCCCCACCCCCCCCGGAGGAGAATGAGCTGCATTTCGGGGGGAAAAATGTTCGAGTGGACCGAGGTGCGCAGACGCGGGCAGGAAGACTGGAGGGGGTCAAGCCGGGGCTCACTGCGACCCCACGGAGGCTGGGTGCCTGTGCACCCCGCTTCTGGGGAGGGTGGGTATCGGGGTTCCACACCACAGCGCCTGGTAGGCTTGCCACCCTCTCTCCTGCTGCTGTTTGAGGCTCGGACTCCCTTGGAGGCCTCAGCCCCGGCCCCGCGCACCCTGCAGGGCCGGAGCCACCCCGTCTCCCCTCGGCCCCCCTCCCTTCCCCAGCCTAGGCCTCCTCAGCTCCCAGTTGTTGGGCCAGGACTTGCCCGTCTCCTGGCCCCATGGATGACTCACCCAGCCGCAGCAGGCGGGTGGGCAGGAGGGAGGCGGGGCTGCCAGGGCCGACAGTGGGAGGAGGGGGGGCGGCCAGACAGTGGCCACAGCTTCTCCCCGCCGTCCAGCTGAGCAAAGTTTTCCATCCCGTGCGTGTCTGCTGGCACTGCCCGGCCTGTTGGCGCCCGCGGGGAGGCCCTGACCCCACTCTGCGGTCCCGCCGGGCATTCCCGAGGCCCAGGCTCCTTCTCTGAATCCGGAGCTCCCAGAACCGAGGGGACACCCCGGACCCGGGACGCAGGCCGAGCCCTTCCCGGCAGAGACAACCTCTCCCCACGGGGTCACATCTTTAAAAAGACACACTCCTGCCGGCCGGCCTGGCTCAGCGGTTGAGGGTCGGCCTATGAGCCAGGAGGTCAGGGTTCGATTCCCGGCCGGGGCACATGCCTGGCTTGTGGGCTCGATCCCCAGTGAGGGGCGTGTGGGAGGCAGCTGATCCGTGATTCTCTCTCCTCCTGGATGTTTTTCTCTCTCTCCCTCTCCCTTCCTCTCTGAAATCAATAAAAATATATTAAAAATAAAGAACAGGCTGTGCGTTGGGAAAGTGGGGTGAGGACGGGATTGCCCCAGGCACTGGTGGGTCTTCGCGGGCAAAGAACTTCACTCAGCAGACAGCGTGGGCACTGCCCCGGGCGGGGCGTCTTCATTCAGGGACGGACGGGCATGAAATGGTAAGGGCCAGGCCCCACGCCACCCCCACCCCCTCCAGGCCTAGCCCCTCAGGGCGGGGTAGAAGGACAGGATGTGGGGGAGACGTGTGCAAAGAGGGGGCCTGGAGGGGCGGGGGTCCCAGAGGGACGTAAGCAGCAGGAGACCCCCCCACCCCCCGCACCTGGGCCTCAGGCAGTCGGGCCCGTGGCCAGCAGGCTCCGCGCCGGGGACGTCCCGAGAGTCCTAGTGTCCAGGGGCTGAATCTTCATCCTCAGCCCCGCGTGGCCTCTGCCCTCCTCCCGGGCCGGCCATCTGACCCTTCAGCTCCAATGCCTCCTGCACGTGACCGTGACGCGGCCTGGCCCGCGCGCCGAAGGGGCCCGGACACTGGAAGGAAAGAAAGAAAGAGTATCCACACCAGCTTTCCGGCCTCTTGCGCACGGGGACAAACAGAGAAAAGAGTGTTTGCACCACGCATCGTGATGGACGGGGGAGCCCCCTGCCCCCCACACCTGAGGGACCAATGAGGGTCCATCCTTGGCCGACCCCTACGCCAAGCGAGCAGGCGTTCACAGGAGGGTGGGGGGGGCTCAGGGGGACTCCCCTTGTTAAGGGCAGGGAGGTGAGGAGAAGAGGGGGGGTGAGGGGGGCTTTACATCCGGAATGCTACCGCCCGGCCCGTGTGGCTCAGTGGGTGAGCATCCACCTATGAACCAAGAGGTCAGGGCACAGGCCTGGGTCCCAGGCTTGATCCCCAGTGTGGGGCGTGCAGGAGGCAGCCGATCCATCATGATTCTCCATCACTCCTGTTTCTCTCTCTCTCTCCCTCTCTCTGAAATCAATAAAAATATATTTAAAAAAACAAACACAAACAACAACACAAAAACCCGGAAGGGTACCAACCCGTCGCTCGGCCCTGGTTCCCAGGGAAGGGAGTGGCATCTGGGGGAGAGGCCACGGGGCTGGGAGCCAGGCCTGCCCTCCAGGTTCTATTCCTGGTCCCTCCCCTGGGCCTTCCGGACACAAATCCGCCCCCGCCCTCTGCCCTGGTGCTCACAGAAGATGAAGACATCTCCACGAACACACCACGGCCCCCTCCTGCCCCCACCACCCACCCGGCCCCAGCTTCTCCGGCCCCGCTGGGCACTGCCTGGCACTCAGGGCATCGATGGCCTGGCCTGCCCACCGCCAACTCCCCTGGATCCCCAGCAGCTCAGCCCTAGGCCCACTGTCAACAGAAGGTGGTGGACGCCGGCCGGTGTGGCTCAGTGGTTGAGCGTCGGCCTAGGAACCAGGGGGTCAGGGTTCGAGTCCCGGTCAGGGCACATGCCCGGGTTGCGGGCTCCATCCCCAGTGTGGGGAGTGCAGGAGGCAGCCGATCCATGATTCTCTCTCATCATGGATGTTTCTCTCTCTCCCTCTCCCTCTCCCTTGCTCTTTGGAATCAATAGAGATTTGTTTAAAAACAAACAAACAACGGTGGTGGAACCTGGGCCAGCCCAGCCCAGTGCCCCCGCTGAGACGCCCCCTAGCAAGTGGGGTTCGCGGTCTGTCCACAGCCCCACTGACCCCACTAACAGAGGGGACCCGTCTGCCTCGATTCCGGCTCCTAGGAGGAGCGTGCATCCAGCAGGAGGGGGCAGGCTCCAGGCCATCCCACGTGGGTTCTCCCAGTTCCCAGAAAGCCACGGCCCAGCCTCTCTCCACTGAGTCATGGCAGAAGCAACCTGTGGCGAGGCCTGTCCCACCCATCTGTCTCCCAGATGCATTCGGGGCGCCCCTGCCTGGTCCCCACGGGGCGTCCAGCTGTGGGCAGGGGGGTCAGGCCTCCCAGGCTCAGACCCTGAGCTCCTCATCTCTGCTGGCCCTAGGATGGTGCAGTTTTTTGTTTTGTTTTGTTTTTTTCAGAGGGAGGGGGAGAGAGAGAGAAACATTGATGAGAGAGAATCATCGATCGCTGCCTCCTGCACACCCCACACTGGGGATCAAGCCCGAAACCCCGGGCATGTGCCCTGACCAGGAATCAACCGTGGCCTCCTGGTTCATAGGCCGATGCTCAACCACTGAGCCACACCAGCCCAGCGGATGGTCCAGCTTTTAAGGGGGATGCTGGCAGGAGTCCCCCATTCTGTCTCCAGGAAAAGGGGAGGAGGGGGGTAAGGAGAGAAAGAGCGCCCAGTCCCCCCCCAGACGGCTTACCCCATGTGACCCCGGCGGCCCTGAGTGGGTGGGTGGCGGGGGAGGTACCACGGCGCGCCCGCCCGGCGGTTTAGGACACGAGGGTC